ACCCCGCCCCGCCCCCGCCGCGCCACTCGCGAGCCTGCGCAGCGGCGGGAACTTCAGTGCGCTTGCGCAGCTCGGAGAGCCGCGAGCCCCGGGCGGCTACCTCACGCGGCGGCTCCGCGCACGACGGCGCGCGGGGGACGTCAGGGGCGGTGCCGCAGCAGTTGCCCCTGGTAACCAGGAGGCCGCTGGAGGAGGCGGAGGCTGAAGAGGAGGAGGAGGGACTCGGCGGGAGGATGGTGAGTGTGGGGGCCGCTCTCCAGGCCCCTCTGGATCCTGCCGGTCACCCCCTTCCCGTGGGGCCCTGAGCTCAAAGCCGAGAGGGACAGGGTGGCGCTCTGCCGGCTCCCGGAACTCTGGCTGGCAGCGTGGTGGCGGGCGCCCCAGGGTGGGCCCTGGGGAGGCCTGGGCCGGGGAGGAGGGTGGGGCTGGTAAGGGTCGGAGACCCGGCGCGGGCCGCGGGCTCGGCGCCGCTCCGGGCGGGGCTGCGGCTGGGGCTGGGTCGGGGTCGGTCGTGGTCAGACGGAGCGGAAGGCGGGCTCCACTCGGGGCGTGCATTGCCCCGGAGGTTAGGGTGCTCCCAGCCGGCCGAGGTCGCCCTGGCGGTCCCGGGACGTGGGGACCGGCGCCCCTCGCGCCAGGGGGCGCTGGGTGCAGAGGGAAGGGGCAGGTTCTAGGCCCCTCGCCCCCCGCGCCTTCTGCGATCCGCGATTATGTATTTGCCTAGAGTTCTCTACGGTCTGGTTGTAGATAATGACAGATGTTGACCGGTTTTTCGTTCCGTACTTAATCCGTCTAGATAGAGACGAATTAGCCGTTTAGTCTCAAGTATTTCTTTCAGAAGCTACTGCAAGCTCCTTATGCAAGTGACCGCACCAGGACCAAAAAGTCTTTAATTCCAGTTTGAGGTCTACAAATTAAAGAGAGGGGAGTTAAAACTGGAAAATGGGTATTAATTTGGAGCAAGTCTTTCCCCGTCTACCACAGAGTTTACCCAAATTATAAAATAAATCTGAACGCTTTCAAGTCTGGTTTTTTGTTTGGGTTTTTTGTGCAGCTAGGTGGAGGGAGTAAAGTGAAATTGAGTACTTTTAGAGCTAGTCAAGGAAAAATTGATTTGAGTACTTAGAGCAGGTTGGTTGGCTTACCAAGTGCAAACAACCAATCGTAGTTACTTCGATACCCTACCTCTTCCACGCTTTCTTTTCTTTTCTTTTTTTTTTTTTTTTTTTTTGTGGAACCGGGGATTGAACTCAGATCCTTGTGTTTGCCAGTCAAGCGCGTATCCTACTGAGCCATCTCCTCGGCCCCTCTTCCACTCTTTCTGAGAGTTAAAAATGTTGAGCCACTTCTGTTGATTTATGAAGAAAAAGTTTGATGTCGAGAAGGAAAAAAATGTATCACTTTGGTCAGATTTTTGATTGGCAAAGTTTTTCTTTCTTTTTATTTTGTGGAACGGGGGATTGAACTGAGGCCCTTGCGCTTGCCAGGGAAGCACTCTTTCCACTGAGCCATCTCCCGGGCCCCAATGGCAGAAGGATTTATTTATTTATTTATTTATGTTCTGCATGCCTCCAGGGCAGGTTTGGCTGGGTTGAGTTGTGGGGATCCGAACCACAGCAACCTGAGCCTGACTGCTTTGTTGAAGCAGCCACTTAAAGAGCTGAGTTAAGGGGCAGGCCCCCAGCAAAGTTTTTCAAATGAGTTTGCATTGTTGGATTGTTAAAGAAGTATAATGATTTGATCTGAGGTTGCTGGTCAGATTTCACACTTGCTACATTCGCTTTTTTTTTTTTTTAAACCTAAACCTAAACAAATTTGGGGTGGAGGATCTTGGACTCACTATGTAGCCCAGCTATCGGTGATCCTTCTACCTAAGCCTCCTGAATGCTGGGGTTACAGTTGTGTGCCGCCATACCTGGCTTAAACATATTTTTAAAAGTATTTTCTTAATTATTTATACCTGAGCTGTCCATTCAAAGGGTAAGTTTATTTCTACAAATTACTACAAACATAAATACACAGAGAAACAGAATTGAAAGGAAAAAGGCATGTCAAACCCACAGAGAATGAGAATTGTCATTACAGAGGACACTCTGGGGTCTGGCTAACTTTCCCATTCTGTTTATCGGTTAGCTGGACTGTATCATTTCATGATTGCCTTATGTATAGTGCCAACATAACAATTAACCACTGCTTGTGTCTCAAGGTACAAACTGGCAGTGTATACAACGACTAGATAACAGTTGTAGCTTACAACTGTTTATCGTTCAATGATAAAAACATGAGGAGATGGCTCAGAATAAGCACTTTCCTGGGAGGCACAAAGGCCTGAGTTCCATCCCTGGTTCCACAATAAATAAATAAATAAATAAATAAATAGAAATGATTAAAAAAAAAACCAAAAACATGCTTTTTCTGTTTTCCTTGAACAGTAAGGAATTAGCACAAAATTTTTTGGATTCTTTATCTGTTTTCCCAAGTACTATCCCCTCTCCCAAAGTATGAGCTATTCTTTTTTATTTTTTTTTTTAAAGTGAATCTTTAAATTTCATTTTTATCTTTTGTTTATTTATTTATTTGGTACAGGGTTTCACTATGCAGTTTGGACTTGTGATCCTCCTGTCTGAGCCTCCCCAGCACTGGGATTACAGGCGTACATCACCACACCAGGGCTCAGGGGCCGGCTCAGCATGTGGTACTGGGAATCGAACCCAGGTCCTTGTGCTTGCCAGGCAAGCTCTTAGACCGCCTAGCTGTCTCCCCAGCCCATGAGCTATTCTTAGAGATGAAAATGGAACACTGAATGTCAGGCTTTTTTCTTTTTCTTTTTTTAATGGGGAATGATCTCAGAAGCTTGCACTTGTCAGGCAGGTACTGTATTTTTTTCTTTTTTTTTTTAATTTTGTTTTTAAAAACTTCAACAATGGGGGTCAGGAATATACCTTAGTAGTATATCACCTGCCTGATGTGTAAGGTCCTGAGTTTGATTCCCAGTACCAAAAAAACCCTTCAGCTATAACTAGTATATTTTTTCTAAATTTGAGGTCCTGAAGAAAAAAAAAAAAAGTATGGTTTTCTCTGAACATTTAGCATCTGCTCTTTTACCCTTACTTTGTTGCACCAGTTCCTTCATGAAATGCTAAGATGACAGCAATTTGGGCACATAACTAACTGGTCACTATTATTTAATAATAATTTAGGGGACCTACCCATTAGCGCAGGTGCTTCAGTGCCTGCTGAAATAAAGCAGTCAGGCTCAGGATGCTGTGGTTTGATCCCCTCATCCTCAAGCCAAACCAGACCTGCCCTGAAGGCAATCTGAGCGGCCCAAAAATAATAATAATTCAGTAATTATTTTTGGAGTACTTTCTTTTTTTTTTTTTTTTTTTTTTTTGAGTACTTTCCATACATGTGGAGCTGGTAGTCATTGTTAAGCACGTTCAGCATCTAAAGATTTTCCCCAACAGTATTTCTATTTTTTGGCTAGGATATGGTAATGAAGAATATAATTTGTGGTTGTTGTTTGAGTTTTGGCCTTTTTTGGTACCAAGAATAGAACTCAGGACCTGTGCCAGGCAGGCATAGTGCACTCAGCTATATTCCTGACACCTGAAAAGTATAATTTAAAAATATACTATAAAAAAAAAAAATGTGGGCTGGGGGCATGGCTTAATGGTAAGAGTATATGTTTGGTGTATGCAGGACCCAGGGGTTAATCCCCAGCACTGCAAGAAAAAAAATTTGTTTTTCTTTTTTTTTTTTAATTTTATTTATTTATTTGTGTGTGTGTGGCCAGCTCAGCCCACCAGGGGGGTGGGGCTGGCTGGCATGTGGTGCTGGCAGATTGAACCGTGGTCCCTGTGCTTTGCTAAGCTTGTTCTAAGTAGGTGCTTTAGACCACTGAGCCATCTCACCAGCCCTGTTTTTGTCTTTTTGAGGCAGGGTTTCACTGTGCGGTTCAGGCTGGCCTTGAACTCATTTTGTGGCCCAGCTGGCCTCCAACTTGCAGCCATCCTCCTGCCACAGCCTAAGTACTGGGATCACAGGTGTGAGCCTCCATGCCCAGCAAGGAAAAAAAAAAAATGTAAGAAAACACAGCTGTTGGGCTGGGGAGATGGTGCAGTAGAATAAGCGCTTCCCTGGCAAGCGCAAGGGCCTGAGTTCAATCCCTGGTTCCGCAAAAGAAAAAAAAAACAAACCACAGCTGCTGTTGGGAGTGGTGACACATGGATGTAGTCCCAGGATGCAACTGGTGAGGCAGAACGATCACTGAAAGTTCAGGGCCAGCCTGAGGTACCTAGGGAAACCTGGTCTCAGAAGATGGGGGGAGAGAGGGAGAAAGCAGGAGAAGGAGGAGGGAAGGAGGGAGTGGGAGGGAAAATAGAGCTACTCTGAGTGGCTACTATGTACCATTCTGAGCAGCCGCCTTAGGAAACATTGTATTTATTTAGTAGAAAGATGAGCGCCGCAGAAGTTTGGCTTAAAATTCTCCCTCTTAAAGTTTTGACCCAAGTAAAATGTTTACAGAGGCCAGAGGTGGTGGCCCTTGCCTGTAATAGGAGAATTTGGGAGGCTGAGGCAGGAAGATTAAAGTAAGTCAAAAGCCATCCTCTACACAGTGAATTCAAGATCAGCCTGGCCTACATTTTAAGACCCTCCCTCAAAAATAAATAAAAGTTTTTTAAAAAAAGAGGCAAAATAAAGTAAATCAGCTTATTTAAAGTAGTTAATGGAGTGTCTTTTTCTGACGGTTGGCTCAGTAGTACAACTTTTAAATCTTGTGTGCTCTTCCCAGCCATATGTATGAAGCAGATTTTGAGGCAGATAACATGTCTGTAGTTAACAGTATCTTTTGAGGACTTGCTCCCAGAAGTTTGTTGAGATGTCTTGTGGCTCAGTCAGACCTCTTGTGTCCACTGGGGTGCATACAGCCTGTGCGCCCACGTGCTGCTTTCACAGACCTGCAGCCTACTGCGGCCTGTGGTCAGCGTCACAGATGTGAATCCTGCTGGAGTGTATGTCGGTTTCCCTCACTGTCCTGTGGGGCACATTGGAAATGTCAGTGCTGATTGAATGAATGGATAGCCAGACCAAAAATATACTTTAAAAATTAATTTCTAATTGGGAGGCAGATATACAAATTGAGCAGCAATAATACTGTAATTGTTACCTAGAATAAATTGCCTTTTGATGACCAGTGCAAATTGAATGAAATCATGAGGGACTGATGGGGGCAGAAAGCTTCTCTATAAAATATTTACAGTACTTCAAGTGAATGGAATTGTTTCCTATTTACAACTTGAGTTTGCTGTCTTTTTCCTTAAAAATCAATTTCATGGCTGGTCAGATAGCTCAGTGGATTAAAGCACCTGCTTAGGCAAAGCACAGCGGCCAGGGTTCTATTCCCGGCATGTGTGCCAGGCCCCACTCCAGGGCACACTGAGACAGATGGAGACTGGTTGTGGTGGCATGCTCCTATAATCCCAGCACTTGGGAGGCTGAAAACAGGAGACTCACTACAAGTCTGATCTATGTAATGAGACCCTGTAGACCCTGTACTAAAAATAATATAATAATAATAAATTTCCAGGATTTGTTGAAACTGTACTTTCGATTTGATTTGAAACTGTCTCATTGCTATATGTTTATCAATAAAACTTTGAAAAAATAAATCAGGCAGTGTACATAGTATATTTACTGCATCCTACAAAAGCTAAATGTAAATGTTATGACTCTCAATTGTTTCCGTTTTTGAACTATAAGTTTGATTAATTTGAAGAAATCCTGCAGAATAACAGTCTAGGATGCTAATATTCAAGGTAAACAATAAATGTAAGTACTTCTTTCCTTTGATTATAAAGGTACTAGGATTGATAGGTCCTATCATAGATCTATTTTCAGTCTTTGGAGTAATATGCATACTATTTCTGCAATGGATGTACTAAATGACATCCCATCAACAATGTAAAAGTTTCTTTTTCCCCAGATTCTCACTGTCCAAAGACAATGAATCACTGTGTGAAGGAGATAATTGAATTCATATTTGTTGCCATTCTGTGAACAATATCAAAGATACAAAATCAAACTATCCACAACTGAATGAGACAATACAGAAAAATGTATTAGATATGCACAAATGTAATCTTATTCTCCTATAAATCCTGTCATTTGTGGTAGCAAAGATGTAAGTAGGGGATATTATGTGGAGGTAAAAAACCAGCTACGTATTTGTAGGAGCAAGAAGAGTTCATTTTGTAGAAGTAAAGATTAGAATAGTTGTCACTTCTAGTTGAGTAGGCAAGGAAAAAAAAAGGAGGGGAACAGCATAAGGCTAGATGAAAACTAAAACAACTGAATAAGAAGAATTGTGTCTAGTGTTCTATAGTACAGAGCCTCCTAGTTATTTTGAAATTTATAATTCAATATAATTACGATGGTTGAAGGGTTTGTAACACATAGAAATGATAAGTGTTATACAAATAGGAATATCAACTACCCTGATTTAATCATCACACATAGTGCATATGTATGAAATTATCATACTGTACCTCCAAAATGTTTACAAATATTACACACTGAGTAAAAATTGTGTAATGACCTCCAATAAGGGGGCTCATAGCCACAAAGCAGTTTCCTCAGGTGGATTCTACCCGTGCATTGCAGAAAGGCTGGCGCTGTGGTTTCCCTCAGGTGATGGAAATTTCAAGGAATGAGTTTTTTGTAGTGAGAGGCTGAAGCTGCTTTCTTCTTCTGA